GTGTGTGTTACCTGGTTGACACTTGTTGCAGCATTTGGAGTCTTTTGGGTATTGTGTTTCTTTACATTGAGGTCTGGAATCTGCGTTCTGTAATTAATGAAGACAAAAGATTAGTTTGTAACAGTTAGTAAGAGGTATAATGTTTGAGTCAGGACCAGGATGGTAAAAACATTTTCAAGACGTGCCCAGAAATTCTTTCCATGCTCTCAGAACACCTGAGCGCAGCTCTGAAGCCTCCAGACCAGGAAAAACAAAGTCCACAAGTACACAACAGGGAAGTAACAGGAGTTATAGAATATCCATTCTGGCTGACTTTGAATAATTAATCACTTGCAAATATTTTCCCAGCCATCAGTGCTGTGCTGTAAAATAAAAAAACCAAAAAACAAATCTTGTGCAGTTGTTACACTAGATTTCTAAAGGCCTTCTGCTCTAAAAAACCACTATGCAAAGTTTCCTGATGTCACGCAGCTAAACACAGCTCTCGTTAGAAAGCATGGAAACAAACTATGAAACATCTTTGCATCTCTTCACAAACAATAAACGCTTTATTGAAAAGGTTACTTACTGTACTGACCTTCCAGCCGCTCTAAATTAAGGGCTGGAGAAGTCCTGGCCACACTGCTGAATTAGACAGTTTGGCTGTTATAACAGAAATGATGCCAAAACCACAGTGTCTATATATAAATGTAGAAAAATAAAACCTATAGGCCTGCTTTGACTCTGACCTTGAATTGACTGCCAACATTTTGCCATTCAGTCTAAGCTTCATCTTCCTTACTACTAAATACTGTAATTTGTACTGTAATTGAATTGCTGGTGTTGCAGAGGTTCAGAAAAGCTTCCCCGAAGTTTTCCTTTGGGAAGCATATTCACAATCTCTTTTTGTTCATTTGATTTTTAATGGAAAAATCCCTGAGCTTACCCCAGCAGTTCAAGTATACAATACTGGACTCACTGTTTTCACACCCTTCTCATCCTCCCCTGTCTTCTTTCTCACACCTCTGATTAGACTGTGTCAGTCTTTCCAACTTCAGACCACGACAGCGCAGCATGAACACTCTCAAGCTTTTAATTACCTCCACTCAGACTCACACATCAGCCAATCTTTGTTTTATAATCTAACCAGAGGGATAATCATACACAGTGCTCATAGCGCAGACCGCAGCACTAATGGACACCATATGCTGCAGGAGACAGAAGTGACAGAAGTAGAAAAGATTCCCATGCTATTAAAAGGCTTGAGTATAGATAGGTAGATATGGCTTTTAATATGCACAGCTGGACCAGAGCGCACAGGAAGCCAAAGGAATGCCGGGAATTGTGTTTTTGTTACCGCCACATCTAAACATTGGGTCTGAGTTACGTGAAACAATGTGTTTTGATTCACTAAATATATAATGGATGCAAAAGAAAAACAAGTGACCCACCCTATATGATTATAGGTTAACATAATGGTAAACATAGCACATCCGACCTCAGAGCTAACTTGATGTGCTGCATGTACTCAGATATGAAGTTATAGAATTGCTTGAAAAAGAAGATGTAGGGAAGTGGAAAGTATATGGATGGACAGAGCGGGCAGGACTTGGTGAAGCTTAAGAACAAAGAGGTATTAAGAGTTCCAGCCCTTCAGCGACATGTCACAACTGCCCCCTAGCTGGTTTCCGAGCTGTTTTGTTTAACTTACAGAAACATTCACCGCCGTGTGTGACCCTATCAAATGCAGAGCGCATTCCATAAGCTTTCAGCGGACAAGGGAATTTGCATAACGGCCACAGCAGCAACAGGCTCAAAGCCAAGAGAAGCACACTGCACCTCATAGGCCTCTAGGGGTTTTACTGGTTCACGATAAGATGCTGTAAAAGCATATTGCACAACAACTGGATCTTTGTATAATGTTTGCACCTGTGATTAGTTTGTTTCTTAACAGCCATAAAAGCAAATCCCCTTAATGCCACCTGCATAAATCAAGACCTGATATCTCATCCCTTTGATTATAACTCTTCAAAACAGAAAAAAGAAGGGACTAAGTTGTCTTAAAAATTCATTTACAAGTAACAGAAGAAAAACCCCCCACAAAGAACGGCTGTTAAATTGGTGGAAATTGTTGACAGTCAATGATGTGTGAATAGAAAAAAAAAAATGCATATAATAGAAACACAACCCAAAAATCAAGGAAGAGCAGGTGCTGCAAAAAGTTAAAAGAATATGTGCTAATTGCTTTAATGAAACCTGATCCGGAGCTCATAGGCAGTGCACTGCTTTTTAAACCGGAGGTAGTCATAAATCTGATCTGGTACTTGATGGATGGAACTTGAAGAGGTAAATAATTACTGGTCAAATATTCAATGAAAAAAGTCAGGGAAGAGGCAGCAAGATGTTGCTAATAGATAACAGGACAACACGAGTGCATACAAGCAGGGATGAATGCATGACTGACTTGAAAATCTGGCAAATAAAAAGTTCAGGAGCCTTGTTTGTGGGCAGGCGAGCAATAAACCCAACAAAGCACAGTTCTTCATGATATATTGACTTTTAAGCTCTGAACATCTTGAAGCAATTGTGCATTGCTCAATGTCACAAAGACAGTTTGAAATGAACTCGGAATGCATTGGATGAAGTGGTTGCAAACCAAGAAAAAGAAGGGGAATTCTTTGGGAATAGTGTGAGTCAGTAATGGCAAGACCATGGTGAGAACAAACCAAAGCCAAGGGTTTGCAATGTCACCTTAAAACGTAGTTGAAAAATATTCCATCCCTCCTATCCAGACAACTGTCTGTATCACGTGTTTGCTTTCTATTGCCACTGCTGCTGGTAAAACTTTGACTTATTTCATAGACTTTTTGGGGAAAGGAACAACCATATATTTCTTTTGCGCAATTGCCTCCCTGGATCACTGCATTGACAAGTAAAATGCCCCCACAAGCATTTTCTCTTGCAACACACCTCAGGAAAGAAGAGCGTGCGTTCCAGTCAAAGTTATGCCAATGCTGGCTTACGGTAATGCAGGCACACAAGCAATGATAGATCACTGGTGCCCAACAGTCCCACCACTTCAACCACATCTCATAAACTTCTCCACCTGGACAGCGTTAGCTGGTTGGACTAAACAACGGCGTGGACAACAACATGCCATCGACTATATTCACTCTCCCCTTCAAATTAACTGTGGCAGTGTATCAGCTGCGACATTAGGTCATTTTTAATCTCTGTAAATCTACTTAATAGGGGTTTTTTTTAGTATGTGCTTCTTAGGTATATTACGAACTACGATAAAAAAGGAAACCACAAAAAAAATGTTTGTAAAAGTTGGTCGCGATATACAAAATAGAGATCCTGCTGTGGCCCCTGCACCACCTTTTTAAACCTCGCCTCTGGCTGACCCAATGAGGCTCCTGATGAGCAACTTGGACGTGGAAAGAATACTTGGTGGAGGGAGAAGAACGTCCAGTTGCCAGCGGCTTTTCTGTGGTCAGAGCAGGGGAGAAGTGGCTTCGGCCCAAATACAGCTGTTTCTAGTCAGTGTCTGTGCGTAAAAAAAAACACTGTTCCCCAAATTTCCCTCGTCCCTCATCTGACCAGCTCATGCAAATCCTGGTGTGTTGACACATACTCGGGTTTACTGTTACATATCTTTTGCCTAAAACAACTGAACAACTGTTAATCTCAGCACTTTTGCATTAACTTTCTCATTTAAAGGGACCCCGATAACCCAAGGGAAGCAGTAAACAAGAGACCTACAGGCTTCAAAGGTGACCGTCAACTCATTTGATATCAACCTCTTAGCTAATTAATGGGGTAAATGTTTATCATTAATAGTGGGGAAAACGCGTTTTACCTGTGCGTAAAAGGTGACAAGGACACACGTAATCCAGCCGCGGAAAATCCAGCTTGTAGAAAAGTTTAATCTCATCTCTACTGATTTACAAGGACGACTTCTGAGGCAAACTTTTCTTTATTAGCCAATAAACAAAGATCCGATCCCCGGATTCTTTAAATGTCCTCACTGCAAATCAATTCTTCTTGAGTGCGTAAATGTGGTTGAACCTCCAAACATCTCACAGGACATCGCGCCTTCATTCCCGATTAGACAGCTTCAGTTCCCATCTGCCCTCTCATCTTCCTTCTGCTTTTCACCCACGCGTAGTGAAGGGAGCTGCAATGCAACAGCTTGTAAAAAATGAGTGACTTACCGAGAGTGGACTCCTCCCACGTTCATACGCAAAGAACGGTTCCACGCCTCCATCTCAGCCCTCCCGATCAAGCCGGAGAAATTATGTGTGTGACATTTATTGCGCCCGACTATGAACCACCCCTTATTTCTCAGGTGGATAGATTTATTTAAACATGTGCAAACCAAAATCTACATTCAGTGCCGGCAAAAACAGAGTTTGTAGAAATCTAACGAGCTCGAAAGTCAATATTTGGTATGACCAGCTTTATTCTTCAACACAGCCTGAACTCTCATAGACAAGCCTTCTTCTGACGTCTTTAGGCAATCTCCCGGATTAGTTCTCCAGGCTTCATGAAGGACATTCAGAGCTCTTCTTTGTATGTTGGCTGCCTTTTGTTTCTTTGCTGCTTCAATGATCCATGACATTATTGTGTGTTTTCCTCTGAGGTATGCTTTAACTGCACGTTAACCGCATTGGCAGTATGTCTGTGATCACCATCATGCAGAAAAATGACGCTATTGCCAAATGGATGTCTTCCACATGGTTTAGCATGGTGGATAAAAATGTGACAGTACTTTTCTGCACTCAAGTCCATCAGTTTTGGCAAGATCCCCAACAGCACCAAATGAAAGGCAGCCCAAAATCATAACAGAGCCTCCACCGTGCTTTACAGATGGCTGAAGACACTATTTATTTCAACCAGATGTTTAAAGTTTGTGTTCATCACTCCATAAGATCTGCTTTTGCTTTCCAGTCCAGTTCTTTTATATTTTGTCACATTTCAGCCTTCCCCCCCACTTTTCTCTTCATGAAAAAAAACGCTTATTGTCATTGACCCTTTCACTAAGACCATGTCTGATTCGATTTTGGCCCATCTGTATCTCTCAGGTCCTGTATTTGATTTTTGCAGGATATTTTTCCCATGTCTTAATAAAATGATTTTCAGATACTGTTCGTCTGCTGCCCTGCTACTTGTTCTTATAATCTCCACTTCTCCAGTTTCATCATTTTGGGGAATCATGTTTGGGGAACATGTAAAAATACTGTTTTGCGGTTGTTAAGCTGCGTCTTTCTGTCTAAAGAACACAAATAGTGTGTTTTTTGTAACAGACTGCTAGTAACAAAGTGCATAAAGATGCATCTTAAAATTGGATCTTTGCTAAGTTTGTTATATCTAGAGTTAGCACTTTTTTATGCTCGAATGATTCATAGGTCAGTCTCAAGTAGCTTAACAAAGTTGAGAAAAGAAAAACATTCCTCTGAAATGGTCCGATAAAAAGACTCGACTGAAAATGCGTAAAAAATAAAAAAAATTAAAAAGCAGAGAATTCTAAAGCCAGGAAAACTATTGCTCAATGCCACTTTAAACAAAAGTCTGTCTCCTTGGAAATAAAATGTAGTTTTGCACAGTACTGTAGGTTGTCAGATGATACTTCCCACATCATTGGTCAGACAGGATGAGCTATGACCTCATGGCAGAGATGAATTCATATATCATACACTGGAGCAGGAGTCAAAGCATGTGGTCACTTCTGTACACTTTGCTTCCTGCAGGAGCCATTCATCACTACACATGAGTAGGCTGCGCTCAACATAGTTCCTGGAGCGTGGGTCCTGGAACAACCATGATGGTGTCTTCTCTACAAAAACAAAAGTGTAGCGATTGCTTCCAGGAAACACTGCAGCAGTTGTCTTTGCCCAGGAAAGAATGAGAAAAAGCTGGAGTTGTTATTTTCCTGGGAATTTGCATGGCAGATCAGTTCAAGCCTACATTGGCAGGTCTAGCAAGGAAATGTTTTGGAGAAAAAAAAAAGAACATGTTCTCACAACGACAGTTATGCAAATATTAAATCAAATGTTTATGCCTTGGATGAATAGGGCAAAGGCTGGAGAGAAGAGAAGTAAACAGAAGAAGAGAGAATACCCAGAGGGGGGAAAATGACTGAGAAAATTTTAAAAAGAAACATAAATTACTCATTTATCTATGTGAATGTACAGCACATATTGTCTACAAACAAACAAAAAAAATGGAGAAAGAAACATGCTGAGAGAAGCTGTTTTGTGGTAGGGCCTCTGCAGCTGTTACAGTAGCAATTAAGATTGGGCTCTTAGCAATCAAAGGCCTAAACTTGACTTTTAAAGCATCAAACATCCACATTAGGTTGACCCCGACAACAAAACTACATTATTATCACAGAAGTCCTTGTTAGTCCCCCCACTTCAAAAACACTTGCATTGTGGCTTGTTTTGATGTATAAAAATGGAGCTCTGCTTGCAGGCAAACACCACGCTGGTTTACAAGCATTATACTTCTAATGACCTGGGTCAGAGCACAGACTGTTCTGCAAGCATGTGGGCTGCGTTGCTTAGCATCACTTATAACAAGTCAAAGTTCACCGAGCACAACTATTTTAGACGGCACAAAAAATAAAAATGCATCCTTAAACTCACATAAGTCACTGAAAGGTTTTGTTTAATGTAACACACACACACACACACACACACACACACACACGTTCCACAGAACAAAACAGCCAGTCTTGTTTGAAACCAGGATTTTGGAGGAATCTCACTTGAAAACGGTGAAAAGTGCAACGGGCAAAAAAGGAAGTCAGTTTTAAAACCTAAAGCAATCGTGTTCCAGTGGTTTTAGGACTGGGTCTACATCGCTTCATCTGCCTTTGGAAACAGATGTGATCCGTGAGTCACCACTAATGTGAGTAAGAGCTCCTCTCAGACAATTCCTACAAATACCAGGAGATTTTTCATGAACAGAAAATACTCGGCTGTGTGTAAGACTACACCTGTCTGGATACACGAGTTGTTTGGACAACACTATTCACTATGAATGCAAATTATAAATACCACAGCATGCACTTACCCACACACGTAGAACAACAGGCACGCCCACAAAGCCACGATGCCATGCCTTAACAGTGTGTAACAATTATTTATCCACCTGGCGAGTTATCAGTGATGGTGGTTGAATATTAGCTTGAATATGCAAATGCTCTTTATCAGAGTGTTGGCCAACTCGCTTTATGTTCGACCGCTAAATAAGATCTTGCAATCACAAATCAATGTACTGGACTCCACTACAGGCCAGTCAGGGCTGTCGAAAACCCATTTGAAACCCACACTCCTTTGAGTTCAATCGTGCTCTTTTATAGATTAAGGCCAAAGTTGACCATATCATTACAAAGTCATTTTTCCAAAACATGCAGGGATTGAGAGATAGTGTAATCTAGATGGCAGATCTGGGCTTTTATTACTGTTTTTTGGGGGGTGTTAAGTTGTTGGGAATGTCCCATAAGATGGACTTTGGTTTGTTGTACTAAGGAGACAATAGGAGACTTGAAACGTTTGAAGTTGAAGCACACGAGCAGGAGCGGTGTGCGTTTCTCCTGTTAAATGACTTTGTTTTACAGCCTTCTAACACCTGCCGACACTTTGAGCCACAGTGAGAGCTCCTTAATCACTGCGGCGGACAAAAAAAAAGTCCCGGTACATGCAGGCATTCAATGAACCTTCCAGAAGTAAATTTAAGTACACAACTGATCTCCATCTTTTATTACACCAAGACACGAATTTCAAATATACACAATGAGTACCGTGTTCTTCAGTTCAGTGTATGATACATTTATTTACGGTTTCTCTTAGAGCATGTCCAAATTGAACGAACGACAAAGAAAAAAAAAAAGAACCAAATCCCCACGTTAGAAAAAAAAAACAAAGTACAATTATCAGAGACACTGCAACACTGAGAGACAAGATGCAACAGACAGAGAAGGAATAATTATGATCAGTGTTCTCTTCAACTTCACATTGCCATAATGGATAAAAAAAAAAAAAAATAGTGATAATCTCCATGTGTAAGACTGAATTAAACAAAAGCAATATAGATAATAAAGAACGTAATAGTAAAGTGAAGTGCAAATTTCTTTGGAAGTTGGAATAAAGTATGTTTTTCTTCATTAAGACATAAATAAGTTATAAAATAGAAGCTATCAAAACAAAAACCAGAAACTGAAGAAATAAAGGCAAGACACTTTTCTTTTTAATAGTTTCAAGTAGGCGATACTTCAGAGCCGTACAGAGACACTGTACAAGGCATTCTAAATAATCCGCGCAGCCTTTTGGTGGTTCAGACCTTCAGTGTAATTAATGAGACTGCTTTCGAACCTTTTGATCCAAAATGGCGCCCATTAACATCGTAAATGAAACCCCCGCAGGCTGCGCTCAGAGTTCTGCTTCTCAAAAACGAGTGAGGCTCTTCTGATACAAGAAGTACTGCACTAAAACTTAAAACAAACTCAGTGATACCTTTCAAGTCCGGAAATGTCCAGGTAACGAGTTCCTCGTTATCGCTGTGGGTTAGTCTCGATACTGTAGAGTTTCTTCTCGTCTCTCCTCTCTTTCTGTTGTGACATGATAATTCTAACACTGACTAATGAAAGAAAATCCTAGTCCTTGATGATGCATCTGTCGTGATTAATAGTTGAGGAGAGGAAAATACGAGCAGAGGAAAACCTCAGAAGCTTTCGCTGCGAAAACCATCCCTGTTTAACAAGTAGTCCTGCTGCACAGATTTTAAAATCAATACAACTTCAAGCAAAATTTCTCGAAATCAACTCAACTATACACTTGACTTCCGTCTGCTCGAAGCTGAACATATGCTTTTTTTTTTGTTTACTCCCAGTAAAACGAAATGCTCCCAATGAGTGCAGCGTTTGGTCAGTTATTCGAGATGATGAATCGGTCAGTGTTGGGATTACTTTTTTCTCTGGAAGACGTTGGCCAGCATGGCGCCAGAGGTAGTCAGCTGACCCATCTTACTTAGAAACTTGGTCTTGGCATCCTCACCCACCAAACTGGATGCAATTGACATGGAGCTATGCAAAAAAAACAAAAGACAACGTTAGAACGTGGACATGACACAGCAGTGAACTTTAGCCATTTTCGATATGAATGTATTAAAA